GAACGCCGGAATCGTTAAGCGTCAAAGTTTCTTCGTCTCTCAGCTCTAACGAGCGGAAACGCGACTTCGTTATCGCGTCGCCGCTGATATAACGACGATGTAAGGCGATATCTGTAACACTAGCCGGCTTCAAAGGCGGCCGTCTCCTCGATTCGCGACCGTGCAGTTTGCCGGAAAGTAACTCGAGCTAATTGACAGTGATCGAAACGAAAACCGCGCGAGGAAATCCTCCGTCCGGCGAAATCGTCGCGAATCTTTTAATTGGCGTTGTCCGCCATTAATCGGCAAGACGGGAGGTATTTTTAAACGGAATAAACTGCAACGCTCGTTTATTCGCGTTGCGCCGTTGCACCCCTGTGCCGTGTATAATCGCCCCTCCGAATGCGCGTAATGGAAAACGTGCCGTCCCGTTTAACCCGATCGATTTAACTCCATCGGGAAGTGTAATTTCACTGTTCGATTTACCAAACGAAATATCGAGGGACGGACCTCTCTCGCGTTCCTCGCGGGTCGCGGCTCGATTTTCCCTCTGAAGTCGCTTGGAAATTTCCCTGTTCGGACTAAAACCTTCCCCGTCGAACAGTTATTCGCCGGATCCCCGATCCAGCGTTTTTTAATTAACCGATCGTCCCTGTTCGCGGACGTAAGTCGAAGCGTTCGGAAAGACCGGAACCGCAGAAAAGTGGTACGAACCGTGGCGGATCCTGTGTTCGAATATGTCGATATCGCGTTTGATCGGCCACTCGTCTCGAAGCGCGAGAAGGTAATCGCGCCGCGGCGAATTGCCGTTCAAGAGGGATCTTTTAAAAATCCAATTAAACCGCCTTTGACCGGGCAATTGCTCGTCACGATCGGCCCAAGAGGCCTGTTTAAAACGAGGAGCCCGGGACGAGACGAATCGAATCGTTACGAATTTCCCCTCAGGAATTCCGGTCAGATATCGCGAGAACCGGAGGCTTAATTAGGAGAAACGAAGGGGATCGAGCCCTTCGCTTCAGCACCGAGCTTCAGCGGCCCTAACGAGCCGAGCTAGAACCAGCTTCCTTCTCGCGCTCTTCGATTCCACCTGCCTGGGAATGCTCGATTTAATTGGAGCATTCGATAATAGACGCCAATGATTCGAATTAGCCGCTTCGTATCGACGCTCTTCCGACCCGTCGCGAGCGTATTTCCAATTTCTCGTTTCCGAAAGTGAATGCTCGGTATCCATTCCGCGCTGCTTCTCCGTTCGCGCTGATCTACGGACATCACCGTAGATCTTAATCTACATCTACGAAGAGAAAAAAACGAAACGTCCCGCGGGATTAAGGGCGAGTTATCGAGTCCGTCTGATTTATATTCGGTCGGGTGTAAATAGTGTACGACGGGCTGTTTCGCGAGGCATACAAATATTTGCGGATCAATCGGTTCCTTTCGAGAAATAATCGATAGGACAAACAGTTTCGGCCGCCGGCTGGTGACTTTCCGCTTCGCGATCGTCCCGTGCCACGTTTAATTATTCTTTTTCTCCGAGAGCTGTGTATGAAGCAATAATATTTGCTCGACCTCTACTTTCGATCGGGACTCCGCGTGTTTGCGGGGCAAGGAAAATCCTCTCGCGATACAAAGGAGCAGAGAGGGAGCGGCGCGAGGGGTCCAGCCGAAAGTCAATCTCGCCGGGTGCTGGTGCAGCTCGTAAATCCCTACAAAGTCGAATCCCGCTTCCTCTCTCTTTCCCTCTATCTATCCATCTATCTCTATCCGTCTCTCTTTCTCCGGTCTCCGCTCGCCTTCTCCCACTTTCCCTCTCCGTCTCTCGGCGTCTCTCTCCGGGAGAATAACCGCGATTCGAAGAAGGTGTTTCCTTTGAAAAGGAAAGGAGGCCGTGTAAATAACGGGCGAGGGTCGCAGCGCCAGCAATCGCACCTCTCATGGCTCTACTGGGACATCGTTCCTCCGTGGACCAGACCTGCCACTTGCCGCATCCATTAACCCATTGCTTTTCTCCTTTCTCCGTTCCCTGGCCGTTCGCGTGATTCGATTTGGTCCAGATGTCCCGCGCAAATTCGTCTCTTGCGATCGAGCCGATGACACCCAGATGACCGCTCGAAAGATTCGGGGGCGTTTCCGCGAATGGATACTAGACTTCTAGACGCGTCGAGGGACACGGAACACAGTTCTCCGGAAAAACGGACGTCCGATCGCGCGCTGCAAACAATTGCCCGATTAGCGACGATGCTATCGATTGGATTCTGAAGTTTCCGAGCACTGTGGTAACTGGGCGTTGGCCGTCCACGCGATTCAAAATCGAATTGTGTATCGTGTGAATATAACGACGTGCTAAAATAATGCTATGTGAATATATTTTAGTGACGGGTAATGCAATGTATTATTAATAACAAAGATAACGCAGGTACAAGATTTGCTAAGTAACGAGTCCGAGAGAATTACAGTACTGAGTCTAGGATTCGAATGCGTTGTGCTGCTGGCAATTGAGCTACTTGTATACTAAAATTGAAAGGGAAAGCTCGAGGATGACCAAGCTTTAGAGATGAACCTTGACGTCGTGATTTAGGATTCGGAGATGGTTCTACTGAAGATGCATGAAAATGTGGATTCGTCATCCAATAGAATGAACAGGGGAAAACTGGTACTCGAAGGAAGATTCAAATTCGTGAGGCGAATGTCAGGGTTCACAGTTTCGGGACTGCGACCTCTGACGAAACGACTGCGTTTCGAGTCAGGGATTAGAAGAGGAATACGCTGATCCAATCTTTGAAAGCCGAAAAGAGCCGAGTAGATCGTCGCGGATATCTATACACCGTTGCGGAGCAGTCGAGTTAACATTATCTTAATCGCCTCGTAACTCTCGAAATCGGTTTTCCGCGAGTACATGGCGCGTCGGCGTTGCACGGTCGCGATGATTCCTCTTACGCGCGACGAGTTTGCGATTTTTGTCCGTCGGGAAACTGGTCGGTGATTCCTTCGTTGGTCTACGGGGAGAACGGCAAGCGTAATCTCCCTTTCAAATTTCATCATCGCGATTCAAGAGGGAAACTTTCAGTCGACGAGATGCCAGAGATTCTACTCCGCAAAAGGGTATCGCGTCGAATCGCAAATTGTAAACGGCATCGACAGACGGGCGACGACAGCGAGTCGACGAACGATCCGCGCTCTTTCCTCGGTAAAATTTGTCTATCGGCATCAGGCCGGCTGATCTGCATCTGTTGCTTCGTCGCGGCGTTATTAAATTTTTCGCGGCTCATGGTCCGCTCGTGGGAACGCGGCCGGCTACTGTCGCTGGTCGATTTTAATTTGATTGGGATGGCTAGCAGAGGCCGCATAGACCAACGGGCGTACACGCAAACAACGATAAACAGATTTAATCGAATAACCAGCGCTCTCATAAATTTTAACGTGTCGGGTTTATAATAACTCGTCCCGGTGATTAGATTCGCCTCGCCGCTCCACCGTCCCGACCTCCCATCACGCGGCCCGGATCTGCTTGCAATCGCGCGCTGGGTCGCCGCCCAGTTTCGCTATGCTCCAGCCATTCTGTCGAGACAAAGTTCGGCCCGATCGACGGGTCCAGATGATAGCGGAGGCGGGCTCAACGGACGATCCATTGAAACGACATTGTTAGCTTTGCGTTGATAATAACCGGTGCAACGGCCAGTTCGGCGGGCCAGTTAGCTGGCCGGCCGGCCGGTTGGCCAGTCGATAACAAATTAATTATAGCCGGAGCGCGGAACACGTATTTAGTCTATAGACAGCGATGATCGAGGTAATTACAGGCGAAATTCGGCGCTCGGATATATAAGCATGTAACACGAATGTAATAACCAAGGAGACAATGCGGGACGTGGGTCTGGAGGCAAGGTGGGTTGGCAAAGGGGCCAGGAGAGACACAATCCCATAATTGTAGCACATTGATCCGTCGGGGAAGACGAGGCAGAGTGTATAGGTGGGTGTTCGGGGCCTGGCAAACCTCGCCGAGACACGATTGATTGCTTGCGATCAGATTATGCCAATTAATGGCTCGAGTGCTACAGATCAGCCCGCTTGTAAATTAGTTCCGGTTCCGGCCGGAGAACTCCCGGAATTCAACTTATCGCCGCAAGTACGTGGACGCTCGGTATATATCGGGGGCAGGATCGCCTGCATAATCCACGGGTCTAGAGGCGAGTATCGAAACGAATTTCCAGTTAGCCGGCCCCATTCTACTAACTGCTCGTCTCGTCCGGCCTTACGGTACGGCCCGGCCAGTCGCAAGTGCCGGAACAAGTATTCCGAGCAGCCAGCTTCCGTAACACGCAGCACACCGAATTTTCCGGGAATATTTCTCGCGTGTTTGATCTCGGATTGAGTGTACCCGTGTTATTTCACAGATTACTGAGATTAACCGTTTGCACTTGAAATATTCGCTGGACATATTCAACGATTCCCGATAAGATACGGACGATACTTTTGAGAACTAACTTATCGAGATGACACGCGTAAATTAAGGAACGAAGCTACTTTATGTCAATGTTTCATATATTGTTGCACTATGCTGAGCTTAGTATTCAACATAAAACTGTATGGTCTTGATATATCGAATCATAAGGTGACAGAGCCGAGGGTTAACACTAGAACTACCGAACAGTCAAATTGTTGTCTCGAAATTTTTCTGTGGAAACCTCAATACTGCAACTATTGAGACTTCAATTGGTTGGCAATTCAATTTCTGTATTGCTAAATCAAATCCCCCAGTAATCTTTCAGACGAGCATCTGTTATCTATTCAATAACTGGGAAAAGGGAAATAAGTAATAGGTCATTCTGACTCATCCGGTAGTTATAGTGTTTATAAGCGCCATATGCAAATATTTTCAGCTGACAAATGTTTCGGAATCGTAGATGTAACCGAGCTACTCTTTTCTAGCTGAGTAATGAAGGCTCAATATTTTAGGGAAGCTGGACCGTTTCTAATGGTGCCCTGTACGCGATAATGGCGGGTAAGCTGAAATATCGTCTACTCACAACGTCGATGAGCTGGGAGAGGCGTAGTCCCATTTTGACAGTAAGGCAATCGCTGTTGTTGCCAACAGGGCGGATGAGGCGGTTGTAGTTCGACAGCAGGTCATCGTAGAGACGCTTCGCTTCCGGATTGGCCGAGGCACCCGGAAACGGGGCAACAAGACAGGATATGGCCGTCGCCATCGCCAGCAATCCGCCCAGCCTGGACCACCATCGGCACCAGCCTTTCCCACCGTTGTTCGACCAAGCATCCCTAAGCATCGTACGCCTTGTCCACCCCTGAAACCATATATTTCACCGTTAAGCTTCGCCTACACGTCCGGTGTTGATGTCTCCGTGTCGCGGTGTCCGCTAACGATGCCGATCGATGCGCCATACTTGGCCGCATCTAAACTATATCATCTTTATCAAATTTCCGAGTACGCATTAGCACTGTACATACCATAACCGGTCAAATGACCGGTTTGAAAATTTCTTTTTAAAATTTGTACTTTCTTTCGTTCATTTAACTTTCTATCGATTCTTATATTGTTTAAATCAGTTTTTCTCTTTCTTATCGTGTAAGTTTCTATTAAAAAATTGTCTAATTTGTTTACCTTTATTTTATAATTAATTTTTTAGCTGGTTAGATTAGGAATAGCTGTATATAAAGTGCTGGTACGTTTAGTGTTAACACGTTGACTGCCACGAGAATTTTCACCGTTTTGTATGATGTTACTTGTTCTTTCGTGAAGACAAATGGCATTAGAATCGGTTATTAACAGTTTGATATCGTAGCTTTTTAGTTACACTATTATTTACTCATTCGTGTTAGTATATATTTCGATTCGACATTAGTTTCCTTCGTGTGATTGTCTTCAAGCACTTCGAGGCTCATCGATGACCTCCGTGGCGGTCAACGTGTTAATACAGAGATTTAGAAATGTGCGTGTACCATTAATGGAGATTTAGGAACGTGACCAGTGCAAAGCGACATTCGCAAGAAATTTCGCGTGGCCTTTAACCGTCGAGGCGGCAAGCTAGTAGAATATCAATGAAGCAATGAATTTATAATTGTAGAAGTTCCGCGTCGTTTTATAATACGCCTTCCCATGTATCATTTACTTCTTTTACAGTGCAACCGCTGGTTTATTCGATCTGCATTTTGTTTAAAAAACATACGTAAACGGAAGATCAGTTCTACGTTAAGCATTGCGCGTCTGATCGCAGATTCGTTCCGTTAACGTGTTATCATAGGAAAGACCCGGTTCGTGCACAGGAGACGCGAGCTCGTCGACATCTCATAATGCTTTGACGTCAACTTTTCAAGCGAATCATGGTGCACGGTAAGGCGTAAGTTGGTTGCTAGACCAAGTCATTTACTAGTCGTGGAGAAGAGTGTAACCGGCCATAAAGGAGGGCTTCTACGGCATTGTTGTGTCGCTGAAAGGAAAGGGGAAGCAAGGAAGGGAGGGAAGCTCTTGAGGAACTTTTATCGCTTCGTTGCTGACCTACCTGCGGCCATTATCAGTGTACCTGTATGCCTGAAAAAGCTACTTTCCCGCATTAACCAGGGATTTACGCTACCCGGCGCTCGTCCCATGATTCTGAATTTAAATGAATCCGGTCGCCGAGCTAATTTCTTCAGCCCCTCAAACTTTCACTCGGACATCTGTCGCGATAACTCCGCTTTCAACCTATGAATAACAGGTGTCGGAGGTTCACGTATCAACCTTGTAACACGGATTCGTTGGTCCGACGAGAAAGTTATTGTTTGAATAGAAAAGAAACACGAAACAAGATGTTAAGCTGTTCCATGTAATTCGATGAACATCGACGCGAACAGAAATATCCCGAGCATATTATCAGCAACCGATTAATAACGATACACTGCGGCGCTTTTCATTTCATTCATCCCCCCATCCCACACCCACCCTCCTTCGCCGCGTCCCTGGTTAATCGACGAATTACACGAAAAGTTGTATTCATTATTGATATGCAAATATAATAAAATGGATGTGTTCCGCGCTGGGACGGGAAATAAATATTCGCGGAATACGGACGGCTTCATCGACGCAGGCCCATAAAATTACAATCGGCGCCGTTGAAATTGCACATCCGCGAGGATCGTTTGCTCGCATTATTTGCAATTTTATGGGCCACCGTATCGATCCATTTACAGGGAATTCGCGCCGGGCGCATCCTTGTGCAGTCTACCAACCCATCAAATTATACGTGTCGGCGCGTTTTATTCGTTAGATTTCCGAGTTGGTTCCGATATCGGAACAAACGCCCGTGTAACCTTAGCAGTTTCAACGGTTTGTCGTTGTCAGAATCCTAAATGTTAAATCCCCGTCGAAACAATTTATCTCCCGGTAAATCAGCGAACATCGACGCCTTACTTCCTCCATAACCGACGTGAAACGAGCGCGAGTGATATCTTCGCGATTCCCTATTCCGCGCAAGTGTAAGAATCGATGATAATTTTCATCGACAGCCGTAAAAGTCACCGGCACCCTCCCCTGTCCCGAAAGTTTCATCCGCAGTTACCGGCGACTCTTTATCGGTCTACCAACCGATAGACTATTTTTCCGTATTAACAAATGAAAAATGGCGGCCGGCCAAGACGGGGCGAGTCGGCCAAAGACCTCGCGGGATCCCTTATCTGGACCGTGTCGGGTCGACCGTACCATAGATAAGCCGGCCCTGTGGTCATTATCAACCCTCTCGCGTTCCCGGCTCCGTTCCACCCTCCGACCGTCGAGTTAATTACGCCGGAATTCCTTACATCCCCGGCTTTTCCACGAATCCCTTCCGCTGCACTTTCTCGTGGTTTGTTCTCTGTATCGAGTCCAACCGGACCGTGCTTTGTCCTGTCCCGTCGACCTTCGTGGACACCAACCGATATCGATTGAACGGCCGATACGCAGTTAACCAAATCCTTCGACTCGCTCGAAGATTTTCGGGCAAGTCATGCATATCGCAAAGTCAATTTCTCATTAATAGAAATAAGTGCCGAAACTCTTAACTCTCACCCGTCCGAAATGAATGAACTCGTTTCCAGTCGGCCGAGTTCGACGAACGATGCTCCCCGTTTCCATCGATTCGCGCAGCGATTCGAAAGTTCCGGCCGCACTAGTCCGAGGAACGATCAAAGTAAGCGCGAGAAGCAATTTCGAATACAGCGTTAAACTATAAATGATTAATTAGAACGCCAGCAACGGCGGCAAGTTGCCGAGAAAGTTGGTCCCGTTTTCTATCGCGGAACTTTCCCTCGGCTCGCGACGAACGGACAGATTTATTGTTTAACAAGCAATCTGTTCCGCGAGCGCTCCAACAGGCAGACTAAACGCCCGGACAGGGAAAACCGAGGGATCCGAGATACCGGCACGCGCTGCCCACCGATCAACTCGGTGAAACGAAACCGCGAGTCGATCCAGCAGTTCGTCCAGCGCGGATCAACCGCGGCTTGAGAAAGTTCCTGTAATGGGAACAATAATGGCCTCCGACCAGTCACCGCGATCCATCAATCTTGCAGCGCATCGGAAACGTTTGGAAACGGTAACGAGTATCCGACGCAACGCGCGTCCCGGTTTGCTTATTCCGGCAGGGATCCGCCCAATAAATTTGCCAGCCGCGAGTGTAGCCGGCTGCGGGGAACTTGCCCGGGGAAGGATCGCGGGTAGACCGCGAACGGAAAGCAGACGAGAAAATCAACGGTAACTTTTGTCAAGATGTACGAAAGTTTCGTTGGACCGGGGCGCACAGTTTCCTTTTACGAGCGCGCGTGTCCCGAGCCAGATTTTTATGCGCGAACGAGTTGTAACGATCGGTGATTCGCGAAGGTTCGAGCGGAAATGCGCGGACTGCGGATTGCCGCTTTACGAGCGGCCGAACCGGTCGATGCGCGGAAAAATTGAAAGGGACCCGACGAGTTTCGATCACTTTCGTCGCGACGGACGCGGCTTTTAATCGTTGTACTATTCGTTTTGACCGTGATTTTATTTACCTGCGAAAAGATTACGCGAGTCCTCTCGTTGGTGTACCATGTAGAGAATAAATTCACGTTATTCGTGCTGTTACAGTTTTTCCTGACCGGCTCGACTCGTTGGTCGAATGGTACATGCTCCGCGCGGCGTTGGAAATTGGAGGTTGCAGGGAACGCGGTATAATAGCTGGCAACGACTCGCTGTCCGCTTTATTAAATTTATGGAAAGTTCGCGCGCATTTATTGAAAGGACGGCCTCATGAATACGCGGCATGATCGTTCACTGTCCCGATGCAGCTCTTCGAGCGTTGCAACTGGGCTAATCGAGTCTCGCGTCGCGCACACCCGCTAACTAAGCTTTTATACGCGCGTTTGGATAGCGCGTTAATTGGACCGTGGCTCCGTCCCGTTCGCCCAACTCCGATTCTCGTTCTAAGAGCTTGGCGAAGTATTAAATATCGCGGCGGTTCGACGATGTTGCGCGTGTCAACGGGAAGACGCTGCGACTAATAGACGGCACGAAATCATCCATGAAGATATGGCTGCTGCTCGGAGAAGTAACTAATAACTTGATTCAATAATATGCGAACTGGAATATGATACGATCGACGTCTCAATAAATACACTATTGCAATACATGTTAGAAGATGAGAAGAATTCGAATCGTTTGCGCTGTAGTTCTGGTTTTAAGAATTAACCTTATTTTTTAATTATCAACGAATTAACATCAATTCGTTGAATGTATTTGTTGACATTAACGGAAAAAATACAAGAGAAATCTAAACTGAACGCGTGAGCCGTTTAATCCTTGTATTATTGTACATGAATATAATATCACTTGATTCTAATTGGAGGAATCCCGAGTAAGGAAAGAACAAAAATTGTTTTGCAGAAGCCGATTAAACGTTCAGAAGAGAAGTCAGTTAAAAATGTTAGAGAATCCCCAGAAGCAAAGAAACGTATAGGTCGCTAGACAACATTAGACAGCGTTCATTCGACCTGAGTAATTAACACGACTCCAAACAAAGAAAATGGGAATGGTTATAAACTTCTCAACTATAGAATCACGCCAGCGTCGTCGATTTTCCAGAGTATTATAGCGGGGACATGTTTCTCCCTGTTGACGAAGCGCGGCTTAATTCAGAGAACCGGCTAGATTTACGAGAACGGGTCTCTTCGGAGTTTCATAGGTTATGGATCGTGTTCCGCTTGACGCGTGACAACGTAGGAGGATTGGAGATTGCAAAGACTGAAACGATGGGTCGGCCGAACGGACGGGATGGAATGGAATGGAATGGAATGAAATGGGTGG